CAAAGCATGCACCAACACACAATTCAAACACCGTGGATCTGAACATAATTTTCATATGATGCTTTATCGGCCCTGGATTCTTAGGGTCACCCGCCCCATCCCGCTTCCAGCACATATATCCAAACACTCCATGTATCTAGTGCAATATGCCGACCCCCTGAAATCCACCAGCTCAGGCCATTTCTCGGTAATGCCATGGCAGTCCCATGGAGTCAGTTTGTGTCTGGAAGAAACTGCACCACAAATCAACCACCCACAACTGATCGGCAATGCCATGGCAGTCCCAAACAGGTCGTGTTTGGGAAACATCTTCCCCGCCGACCGTCTCCATCTCCTCGGGCGTTTCACCCTGTCTCCAAGAGGCAGCTCTCGCAGAGCGTCCAACCAGTCATCCTCATCGTGCTCCGACTTCAGCCGCTGCTCCGGCGGCTTCAAACGTTCCTGGGGCACACGTTCCGATCTGGTGTGCAAACGCACTATAGGTCGGGTACCAAATCCGGAAATCGGATGCAAATGGATGAAGCACGGTCCGTAGATGAACTGGGGATGGTCTCTGTTCCACTTGCAGTGAGAGGCTAAGTAGATGGACTTGCTTCGAGGCCAAGCTCAAGAAGTCCAGACGGCCACATATCTCCAATTAACGGCATTATGGATACCAAAGTAGAAGCTGTCTTCGTTGGGTCCAAGAACAGACATGGGCGACCAAGAGCACAGATACTAAGTGATGAAAAGTGGTTGCGTGTTTGGAGGAATGCTACTAGGATTCTCCAAGTGTTCCCATGAAATGATTGCTCAAGCTGCCATGGGGGGTATCATATTGGTCTGCTTGCAATGCACCCAACACTTACGTACTCAAACACTTCGCAACCGGTTGGTGTGAGGAAAATCTGGCACTCTGAATCAGCGGCTGCCAAGAACGAACATCGCACACCTGATTGACTGTTGAGGCGTCCAGCTTCTCCAGTGAGTGGATGGATCTTTAACAAAAACAAACAAACACAAACACACACCAGGAGTTCAAAAGGGGTTGTCATCCATTGAGTGGATGTTCTCCCTATCCTCCACGTTTGGCAGCCCGACATGGAACTGCAACACACAAGCAACTTCTTTGGATACTCTTGGCAGCTCGGTGATCTTAGCGCGAAGCGCCGCGCCTCAAAGTTGTATTTCCCTCGGTGCTTCCGGCGGACGGACACGATGCCGAGCTCACGCCTGGCAAAGGTTTGAGAATGGTGGATCCAAAGAAGCAAATGGGACAGAATGGCACAATGTGGCTCAAAAGGCGGGTAAAATCGACTCATCACACACCACCAAGTTGTTGACATCTGCTTGGACAGTGTCAAACAGCGACTTTTTGTCTTGGATTCCGAATGCTTCCTAATTTCAGTGACTATATACACATCTACGAAAAAGCAAGAACCTATATCAGCAGGAGGGGGTCGGAGGGGGTGAGTTTTCGACTCTTTTCCAACAACAACAACAACAACAACCACAACCACCTTGGGAACTGCTGGTAGATCATATTCCTTGGAGCCAGTGGGGTCCAACTTTGATGTCTTGAGCCACCTCTTACTGACTTTGGGTCCCCAGGGCTTTGCTAGGGTCATGTGTTCTGAACTGTCAAAGCAGCTTATGCAACGATTTGCAACAAATGGGGAACATGCCAAACACTGGTTTGCACATTGGAGCATCTTTTTGTATCCCTTGGGTGGGACGCATCTGGCTGCAGCACAAGTCAATTCTTAACAAAGCGAGGATTTCCTCCAAATTGTCCTGTGAATTGTATGTATCGTGTCTGGCTAATTTGCAAACAAATCCTGACATTGTGGGAAGGCTCTACCGCACACCCTTTGGCCAGCGAGATCAAGTGGCAAAGCGTGCCAAGCCACGCACTTGGCCACTCATATATATATATATAGACTATTAGACGTACTTTACAGTGACACTTTCGTGAAGCACTCCCTGGCTTTAGTTTTGGCAGCAAAAAGAAACAGGCGACACATAATCATCCGCCCTGCAAATGTTTTAAACCATTATAAATAGCAAATAAAACAAGAGTCCGCACAAGTCAAACCTCTCATTGGCGACCAGCTCATTCACCTTGCCTTAAACCTTCTACCTGTAGTCAAACAAACGAGCACCAGCCACAAGTAAGTAATGCGAACATTGAACTGAATGTTAAGCCCAGTAAACAAACAGCTGCCAATTGAGCCTACAAAAATAGATCGTGCCTATATAGTATCCCATCATCGTGTTTTCCAGGTGTGCTGCGCATGCCTTTTTCCTCTTCGGGCGACCTCAGGAACCCTCTGCTCCTCTGCTCGGAATCCCATGGAACTTCCTGCTCCCCCGCTCCGGCAACCCCGGCAGCCACCCCGTCGTCCGACGCCTATAGATCAGGAGGATCAACAAAGTCACCTCAGCGGCACGAGACCAGGAGACCGGCCCGGCGGTCTGCCCAATGGAGTGGGGTCTGCCCGGCAGCCTCCGTTTTTGGTTGGGGAGGGGGAAGTTCTCTTAGCGTCGGTACAAGGGGTGTCAATGATCTGAGCACGTGGCCAATCAAAATCCACAATGAGCCTATGGATATGTGCCATCTACTTGGAAGTCACTGCACAAAATATAGTTTCAAAGTGCACACGGTGGTTCCCTTCAACTTCCTTCGAAGTGGTCAGTCAAGCCACTGGAGCCTCTCACCAAGAAAATTGAGAAGGACGCGATCCACCAATTGGACCAACATTGGCATTTGTTTGACTTTCTATTTGAAGAAATTGGCCCTAAGGTTATTATCTGAATCTCCCCCTATGGGCGTTCAAACATGCCCTAGGGATCCAAGTACCTTCTCAGGTGATTGGAGACAATCTTATGTAGGCTTGGAGGGTCCAGTCGTACCTTCTGAGAAGGTTGGATGGATCCTTAGGGATGTACCAGTACAGTACGCTCCAGTTGCCATCCCAAAGAGGAAACACATTGCATGTTCAGCACGATCTTGAATCACAAAACAACAAACAGGATCAGGACAACGATCTCTTGGGCTGCTAGGACTATCCTCTGGTTGCACACATGAACTTGGAGTGCCATCATCCCCGAACAAACAAATATAATTGCACCACCCACACCCCCACCACCTGGCTTCTCTGTTGTCAGTGTTTAGATGACTCCTTTGGGAGTCACATCTCACTTCGACGCGCCCAGTGGCAATGGCCGCCAGGATGATTGCAGCAATAGAGGTCGAAAAGATTTCCTGGTCATGCCCAATAAGCCAGAACCACTTGTGCATGGTCTTGGGTTAACTTTGGCCTTGGAAGTTCCTAACCCATGGTCATCTGAAAAGCTGCTAACTACGGCTAACTACTGGTTGAATCTGGTTGATGACATTAAGTTGGCATAGCTGCGTTCACGCAGATGGGTAGTTAGTTAGGGGTCAACTGCTGCTTGGTGGTTTCTGTTTTCGGCTGATTGTTGGCATAACGGCCCCAGTCACCATCAGTTTGTAGAGGTCTTCCGACTTGTTCGGGGCCGCACCATTTCAGAATCTCTGGTGTGTCGTCAGGGTCGTCAAATCTGGGATGTTGAAGGCCTCCTGTTCTGCCAAGGCCAGGAAAGCCACCCGAAACAATGCTGCCTCATGCGCAGCTGAAATAGCATAACAACGGTAGCCATAATTGACAAGAATGCACCAGGTGGGGCGGTCGTGATTCTTCAAATCCATCTTGGGTGTGGTTCTGAGGTCGTGCTCTTAAAAGCAGCTCGGATGTCGGATGGGGTTCCCCTGCAAAACTCTACAAGAACACATCCAATTGAGGGTAAACACCCCGGAAGCAATCGCACATCTAGTTTTGGGGTTCCCATCATTTCCACCCCTTTTTCCGGGATGGTGGACGCCCGACCTGCCTGCACCACATGTGGTGGGACATGAAACTGCCAGGGCGCGAGGAACCTGGCAAGTTTTGTCCGAAGGTTGGCAGGTAGGACATGCCTTCAGAAGACACTGACACACACACACACACACACTATGTCATTATGTGAATGTGAACGACAACTCCCACAGATTTGCTGTTAAACAATGTTCCACGCACTATCCAAGTCATCAATGTCTAATGTGAACGACAGCTCCCGGAGATGTATTTGCGCCATGGAGTCAATGAAAAGAACGAAATGATACGAAATGCAAAGTGCGAATCAATCCATGCAACTGCCAAGAAGTGACGACCACTACACAGGACCCATCTTGGTTTCCACAGGTTGTCAAACCAATGACCCAAATGTTCGTCACCACGAAAGAAGTGACCAAACCGCTTGACCGAATGGTTGAGGCGCTCGTTCGAACGGCGGCCGGCGCCCCTGGCCCGCACCGCTGTCGTTGTTGTCGCACCGGGCCCGAACGTCGGAGCCCGAATTCGCCGCGGCCTGAGAATGAAGGTGAGCCCAGATGATGCGTATTCATCTTCTGCCGGAGCACAAGATCCAAACCACGGGAAGGCGGAGACCTGGGCGGTTTCAGTATGAAGAAGAAGCGGTCCAGGTTACCAGGTTAACGGTGGAGAATAAAACAGCTGTTTCTGTGCTGTGGGTTGGAAAAACGGGCTTCTTCTCACACTGCAGAGGACCTAAGTGTTGTTATCAAAAGTGTTCTTCAGCCTGTATTAAAGCCACGTTGCCCTCACCCTTGCTTCATTGAGTAGGCGGCTACTTAAAACAAACTAGATTCTTAGGAACACATGAACTAAATGACATATAAAATAACATGAACCCTCGATACCGTCCGCATGAGTCCAAGTCGTCGTCAAGTCGTTCCGAAGGTTTGGGACGGGACGAGACCTCTTGGGAGCCCAGTCGTCCGGTCGCCGCCGGCGTCCCGTCTCGTTGACCGTCCAGGCCGTCCAGGCTTCGCCCCGGCGAAGCCTCCGGTGTTGGCCGATCTTCGACCATCGGGTCGGACCTGAAGAAACCCTCTGTATAGCATATGGCCTCATATCCTCCAGCACACGATGGACCACCTTTGGATGACTTGGAGGGTTTGGGTGAGGAAAGGGGGTAGAGTCTAGAGAAAACCACCTGAATTCGTTGTCAGGATGTTTGGTCGCTCCTTTTTCTCACAGCATCTGCCCCACAATGGTCGTCTCGAGCCGGGTATTGGCAAACCTCGGGTCCGGAATTTGAGCGAGGCATTTGCGGCGGTTGGAACCAACAGCGAAGGTTAACAAAGTACATCCCTCATGGTTTTGAGATGTTTTAAGGGACCCCAAACCGTCCCAAACCCTTCTTATAAAGGGTTCCACCCCTGCGAAGGTGTCAGGTCCAAGGATCCTTAGGGTTGCAAAGTTCAGCAAAACCCATATCGGGGTGGTTTATAAACCACCCTGACTACGTGTTTTCTATCCAATATCCATCCAAACTGGGATGTGCTGGCCTGGACCAGGGCTGTCCTAGCTTGTTTCTATATATAGACAGTTCCATAACTGTTATAACAATTATAACAGAACTCACAGAAATTGAAGCCTTGACTGCTGGCTTGTGTAGGATCATTTTCTCATATGTTCTCCAAACGAGTCAGTTGATGCAGAACGAACGAAACCACCTGGAGACCATCCAAACATGGCTCAACGACCCTGCGAAACTACGACCGGGTCAAGAGCTCCCAGAGCTCCTGCGAAACCCGGTCACCTGGTCGTAGTCCCTGCGACCCTGCGAAACTACGACTGGGTCGGCAGGTGACAGGTGGATCTCCTGAACATCGGTCAAGATCCTGTCGGCGCGGATCTGCGCGAGCATCGCCCGCTTCCGCTCCTCGAACTCGGTTTTGGATCGGCAGGTGTTCCTCGGAGGGGACATGGGACGGAATGGGACAGAGTGACGTCGTCAGTGACGTCGTCCGACCGTGTTGTTCAGCATCAGCCACCATCAAAGAGACTTCATGAGACTTCGACCGCCTTTGAAAGGATGATCTTTTCAAGGATCTTTGAAGGGAGCCCTCTCAATTTCAGAGATCCACCATCAAATCCAATGGTGGACTGACAAATGGCCCCCCCGAAAACTGCACCATAAATCTCCATAGAGTGGGTGCCACAAAAACTGGATAGACCCTTGGCTTCGACGCAGCATATATGGAAGGTGTATGGCATGTATTCTTGGATGAAAATTATTGGTTTCTAGGTGTGGACAGGTGCATGGACCAAAAAGAGCTTAGCCAAAAGGACCTCCTCTCATCGCCTTTCAACAGGTTCAACGTTGGGGCAAAGAGGAGCGGAATCAACCTGCAGGCAATTTGTTAGAGTCCCAGAATGAGCCACCAGCATATCGTCCACTTCCAAAAAAACGCAAGGTGTCCAAACCAATTGAAACCCGTGGCCGGGCCTAAGAACCCTCCAAAGGACCATTTCGGAGACCTGTTGGAAGGTGCTGCTTTGAATCCGCCCCGGGCCAGGCGCTGCGCAGCCAAGCTTCTTGAAGGTCACCACAGCTAGGCCTCGGCACGTCGATCGGCCTTCGTCCGGGTCCCAGGGTCCATCGCTGGTGGTTGGGGCGAAGTCGGTCCGAGCGGCTCGAAGTGGATCCGAAGTGTCACATGCTCTATCATGCTCTAGTCTTATGGAGCCTTCTTTGGTGCATAGGACCAGCCACAAGCCACAAGCCACAAAGAGAAGTCACTGCTGAAGAAGCAGATCTGGTCGGACTTTCCCTAGCGTGGTGGCCAAAGACATTGCCCGCCCGAGCTTTTGGAAATCATGCAGGGGTCAGTTTGGTACCTATACGCCCTGGAAGGTTCCACTAGTCTTCAGAGGTCAAAGCCATCAGGCCTCTTCCTGGGTGTATACCCCCTCTGTCTATATTGGTGGCCTACTGTCTCCCCTCTGGTGCCACCCTCCGGTGGAGGACGCCTCCTAAGCCCAACGACTCCGTCTGGCCGATCAATCACTCCCAGGTGCAGGGCGGCTCGTAGAGGCCTTCGCGGGCAATCCGGTAGAGCAGCTGGCAGGAAGCCTCTAATGCATCATTCCTCGGGGTTGGGAGAATGGACGCCACGCGAGACTTCCTCCGGGTTTGACTCATTCATGCCTGAGTGAAGGAAGAAGCTGACCCGACCCCGGTGGTGGAACTGTTCCATGTGCCTCGTGATTCAGCTGGCAGCGGTTGCGGGCCCGGGGTACTACCACAGAACATTGTGAGTTGCATGTTTTTTTTTGGGGGGTGCAGGTATAGAAAGGTTGCGTGCAGGTATAGGAAGTTCATCGCCTGATAGATCATAAACATATCATAAAGCATATCAATTAGACATCCTTCATGTCTGATTCCAGGAGCCAACAAGGCTTAGACCATCCTCCACAGTGCACAAAGTTGGAATCAAATCAGTCTCATCCGCTATGGCAGTCATGGCACATGTCGCAAACGAAGATGGAGAGCTTCTGGGACGACAGTTGGTCCAATGCATCAGCTCCCCTCATTCTCCTTTTCGGCCGAACACTTCAAAGAGCCACGGACGCTTTTTGGGCATCCTGCCGGAGTCCTCACCTCTCACCTCTTCCCAAAGGCTTAGGGTTCCAAGGTCTCCAATGGAATACCCTAAACTAGCTGTGGATCTCCATTTTTCACACCCCTTGGCGAGTTTTGAGATGTTTTGAGCACCGAATTTCACCAATCCCGCCAAAAGGGGGGGATCGTCTTCTTGCAAGCCATGTGTTTCCCCGCGCTATGGCCGATTGCACAAGGGGTGCCAAGCATGGTCAACTCAATGGCTTGGGGTGCTAAGCGTCGGAAGTGGTCCTAAGCGTCGGAAGCCTTCACGTAGCTTGTTCATTGTCTCATCACCTCCCATAAAAGTCCTTTAAAATCACACACACACACACCAACATTTAAACAAACAAACACAACACATACTAGACTATAACACCCAATATCACCAAATCAAAACCCACCCAATTAAAACACCCAAACCAACGTCATCCAACTCCCTGACCCTCGCGCAGCCGCCTCGTTCGTCGCCCCGGGGCGTTCGTCGTCGCCACGCTTTCGCCGTCCCAAGGGTCCAATGGGAGATCCGCCCGTGCTCGTCGCTCGGTCCCTGCTCCCAGGCAGCCCGGTGCCTGAGACTCCGTGTGGCGGCCGTAGTGGCAGGCTCTGCGGAGCTCGAATCGGCTGAGGAGGTGCTCTTTGTTTGACCCCAACTAGATACAAAAGTAGATCCCCACTCAGAATGGGCTGGGAAAGTGTTTCTATCCATTGGGGACCACGGACCACTACAAGGAATCATTGAGCTTTCGAAGCATTTCCAGCATGGTGCCGGATTCTCAAGGTATGTGGCAAGAGCAGCACGCAGCACATGTGCAAAAATCTAAGGAACGTAACGGAACATGCAAAGGCCGCACCATGATTCTGGGCCAGTGTGAGGATTCGTGAAACATAGTTCAGCTTCAGCTACAATATGATTGCTGGAAAAAATGCGCGTACTCGGAAGCGGAACGGGGACCTACTTCCACTTCCAAGATCATCTTCCACAGGACTCTACTTCCATATCCAAACTCTCTACAAACTCTCAATGGTGCTTGGGCAATGTCACATCATCTTGTACAGCCCCTCCGATTATTAGCTGAAAAACACCTCCTTGTGTTTTCATGCCATCCAAGGATATCGGCAACCTCCGAGGCGCTCCAAGTGCTTTCGATCCTCTTTCCGCTCTTCTTCCTCAGTCCCATCAGTCCCGTTCCAATCCCACTGAGTGACTCCCCAGTGGTCATATTTTGACCCTACTTGCTCCACCACATGAGCGGCCGGCAAAACTAGGGGTCACCTGGGTGGAAGTTTTAAGGCAGGTATCGTTTTTTGGGATTTCCTTTGTTCAATCAATGCTTTTGCGATGTCCTTTTGGAGGAGGTGTCGTCTATATGCAAATTGTTGTGCAAGTTGGTTTTGCAAATGATGAGTAGTAGTAGTAGTAGTAGTAGTAGTAGTAGTAGTAGTAGTAGTAGTAGTAGTAGTAGTAGTAGTAGCAGTAGCAGTAGTAGTAGTAGTCGTCGTCGTCGTGGTAGTGGTAGTGGTAGTGGCAGTGGTCGTGGTGGTAGTGGTAGTGGTAGTGGCAGTGGTAGTAGCAGCAGTAGTGGTAGTAGTAGTAGTAGCAGCAGTAGTAGTAGTGGTAGTAGTAGTAGTAGTGGTAGTAAAATAGTAGTAGCAGTAGCAGCAGTAGTAGTAGTGGTAAGGTGGTGGTGGTGGTGGTGGTAGTAGTCGTCGTCGTGGTGGTGATGGTGGTGGTGGCGGCAGTAGGAGTAGCATGTAAGTGGCAGGTGGTTTCCGAGCGTATGCAAATCTATGAAGTGGGTATCGTTTGGTATGGTTTTTGGTATCGGTCTAAACTCTAGGGAAAATGAGCAAAAAGCAACATGGAATGTCCAACTAGTATGGCAAACCATATGCAAAAAAAAGAATTGGACATACGCTGTGAGAGTCAATAGGCAAAGACCTGTACCGGCTAATAAGCCATGCCACTCCCTACCAACTCTAGTTGAACTTTCTGCCGAGCGATGGACTCTCCAGGAAGCTGGGACAAGTGACCCCATGCAGGCTTTGGTTGAACTATCTACCAAAAGTAAGACTCTGGAGGCAGCTAGGCCAAGTGACAATTAAGGCTGGGTATCGTTGTTGGGATTACTATCGTTTCTACAAGACAAATCACATGCATTTTCTTTTAAGACACGTGAGTGCCGACCTGTAGAACGCTTGACAACCATTGTGAGCACCAGAAATTCCACAAGCTCTTACCTTAGCAATGTCACCTGACAATAATGGAACATCTTTTGCCACTGCCAAACTGAGCTAGGCATGGCTTGCAAAGGGCCCTTGCATAGCTTCGCCTGTCCTGAAGTCTCTCAGTCCTCTCAGGGCTCCAACCCCTGTAAACGCCAGCTATTTCCCATCTACCAGCGGAGTTCTGCCACTGCATAAGCACGAGGTGCTCACCATTGTAGATTCTACTGCTCTTTGGTAATACAAGTCGTGCATTCAAAATGCTGCGACCCTTGACTGGTAGTTGAACAGTGCCACAAATGAGCACTACTTCCCCGCTCTCAGCCCTCAGCACACCAAGTTAAGCTCCAGCGTCGGTGAAGTCTTGAACGAACTCGTCACGCACCTCAGGAAACATGCCGACACACGCTGAATTTCACCCCTTTTTAATCAGTGGCTTTGTGACCATCTTTGAGGCCCCCATAGGCAGCCGAGGACCAGTACAAAGTGCATGGCCGCCGGTGTTTGCATATATATATATATATATATTATATGGGAGTTGATCTAAATTCCTTTATCCGGGACCCGTCATTTTCGCAAAAAAAATTACTTTCGCCAAACTTTTGCCTTCCTGCGTTTTACCTTTCGCCGAAGTACGTTGTATTTATGTGTGCCATGTATGTTGTGTTTTGTTCACGTCAATGGCTTCTTCTTTACTGGCAAACACAAAATAGAAACTTCACTGTTTGTCAGCATGTGTCTTCTACTTAACTGTTGACACCCTGTACGGCTCTTTTGTTTCTCCTGGGTGTCAGCAAGAATCAAAATTGCAAGAATCACTGTAGTAGCCGGTCACTCAAACTTACTCATAATGGGCTGGGGGTCAGATGTGGCAGGGTGAACTTTCGCCAATCTTGAGCTGAACTTTCGCCAAACTTTCGCCTTTTGCGGGGTAGAGTTTTGTGGCAAAGCCGCCCCCCAAAGCAGGAGCAGGAATAGTGGTAGTCGTAGTAGTAGTAGTAGTAGTAGCAGTAGTAGTAGTAGTAGTGGTAGTGGTAGTGGTAGTGGTAGTCGTAGTAGTAGTAGTCGTAGTATAGTAGTAGTAGTAGTAGTAGTCGTCGTCGTCGTCGTCGTCGTCGTAGTCGTAGTAGTAGTAGTAGTAGTAGCAGCCGCAGCAGCAGCAGGTGATCTAACTTCCACAGCTCATCTAGCTTCTGAGTCACTGCCACCAGCTGTTCAGAAAGCAAATGAACATTCATACAAAAGTATATATTTAATCTTTCGCCAGATCTTTCGCCAAAAAAAAAATTACTTCCGCCAACTCGAGAAAAAACTTTCGCCAAATGAGATTTTGATATGTTCCGGGTCATCGTCATACACACTGCTGACTAGGACCTTTAGATCGACAACCATATATATATTATATTTCATGCACACGTTCTAGGTTGGGTTTGGAAGTGCAGCTGGCTTTGAGGTTCTGCAACCCTGTCCTTCTCATGCACTCCTCATTTCCACCTCTCACCCCCACCTCTTCCTCGGTGCCCAACCTCCTCTTCGGGCACCAAACGCCGCACGGCCGGATGCATGTAGGCGGCGGGGTCGCAGGCGATGGTCCGCTGGATGCACAGCTGGGTGGCCAAACAGTACGACCAGCCACCGGGCGATGCGCCCACATCCAGCGCTAAGCGGCGCTTGGAAAAGCGCTCCTCAAACAGAGAGAGAGAGAGAGAGAGATGAGAAAAAACTAACTGGGGGCATTTTTACGGGTTTCTTCATGGTCAACACATGGAAGTGGGGTGCTTCACGTGTCAGATATGGAACATATCCTGTACTTGGTGGGGTTGGTCCGGGGATGGTTCGCAGTTGGATGAGAAGTTGGGGTTTCCTTTGCTTGCGTGAGACGGTGACCGTTACCTACAAAGACCTATAGACCGACCTATAGAGTGACGAATGACTCTCTGTCAAGTGGATGATAGCCGCTGGTAGCCTCTTGCAAAACAGTTCTTCTCCAGACGGAGGAAGCGTTCTTTTCACTTCCATCATTGATGCACACAAGCCGGGTTGTCCGATGATCCGCTGGTTGTTGACCTCCAAACAAGAACACAACATACTAGGTACTTGCCCAATGCAATCATAGCTCCCAGTTGTTGATAGATGTCTAAGCTTTCTGCCCTGTCGCGAAGAGGCCTTCCCTCTGCTATGATGAAAGCGATCGAAACCAAACTGGATAGGATGTTCATCTACCAGGCTGATCAAGAGCACCTCCAAAGCTTATGAATGCGCTGTTAGATGTGCTAGCGCATGAGTTGCACCTTAGATCATTTGGGGTGGTGGGTGTCATCAAGATCTGAGAAGCGCTGAGAAGCAGGATTTCAATCGGCCAAGGCTCCCACAGTGCTTTGCTGTCGCGCCGGGAGCCTGAAGAATCGTGATGATCCGAAGGCTCGTAGCCTGCTGCGGGTGGTTCGCCCAATGCGACTCTCCCGGCTGAGAGGAATGCTGAGGATGCACTCAAATGTGAAATCGGAAGTGGACTGAAAACCATGCTTGGTGAGGAAAGTCGTCATCCAAGAGGGTGATTTTCCACTTCCATGACTACTCTTGAGAGATCGATGCCAAAGTCCATCCACATGGACTCTGTTCAGAGTTTCAACCCAACTGAACCACGCGTACCTGGACCTAAGAATATCCGGAAGCTATATCAAGGCGCATGTGGTGCTCATCTTAACCAGATCATTCTTGCATGGGCTATGAAAGTGTGGCCAGAAAATACAGGGCATGTCACTTACAGCTGTCCCACACTAGCAGTGGCTGGTGAAGAAGGATTTCGATCGTTTTGCTAGTGGGTGGGCTCGCAGTCCTGGCCATCCCAACATGATCAATGTGTGTGGGTGTGTGGGTGTGTGTGTGTGTGTGTGTGTCAATTTGACACCCAGTTTGACTCCAAAGGCGTCCATTTTGGAGAGGGAAGTGGAGTGGGACTGGGGGGCCTAGCAGCTAGGTGAGTGGAGGGTCGTTGATTCTTTTCTGACCTGCCCAAGAAGGTCATATAGACTGTTGATGAATTGAAACCAAACCATCTCCAGAATGGCTTTACCTCTCCTAAAGAAACACAAGTGATGTAACAAAATCAATTGTCGACATACATCTAACTCCCTGGGCCCGCCCTGGGCAATCAAAATTAACCATTCTATTTCGGGAAACCAATTCCCCCCAAAAAAGGGTGGAGGATGGTGGAGGATGTTAAAGGGTATCCACATTAGGTCATCAACAGTCTACATTAAAGGCCCAAAGGCTCGATCAACCGAGAACGAACCAAGCGTCGATCCAGAATCTCCAGCAGCTTCCAATAAGCGCTCGAGGGCACCGACCTGTTGTCCTTCGCCGGAATGATGGCGCGTGGGACATTGGCGCTCCACCAGAAGAGGCCATCGGCATAGACGATGCTGTCACACCTGAAGCAACCGCAACAAGTTGGAGTGTTGAATCAGAAATGGATGGGGGGGGCAAGGTACCGTGCCAGGTCAAGCCGGTACCAAGCCGGTAGCACTTGGGATGCCAGGACATCAGTGGACCCTTGTGGACACGTTCTTGTCATGATTTCTTACTGTGTCGATGTTAAACACGCCAGGAATCGCCTGTCTTTGGGCAGCTGCAGCCCGTCCAAGAGAACGTCCTTCGTTTCCGGCGTGGTCGCATAGCCGTTGGCGCCGTTGGCTGTGGAGTGCCAAGGAGAGGCATCCACCGTGGACTTCAAGGCTGATTCGAGTTCACCGGGGAAGCACATGAAATTCCTGGCGACAGGTGAGGCATCGCCGACTGGAAGGACAATCCAGGTGCCATGGTTGGGAGCTCATCTTGAAAGGACCATGGCATGCCATGGCTGAGCTGTAGCAATGTGACTGTAACAAGTGTAGAACGATCAAGATGCATGAGACCTGGAGAGCTGTCAGCTGCCACTCAGCTCAGCTCAGTCAGGAACACAGCCGTTCACCTGCGCCCTTGGCCACGATGTAAAGGTCAAAGATGGCCTACATTCATAGTCCCGGGAGTAAAATACACCATTGGATTGAAATGATCTAAGACTGGTGACCCAAACAAACATCTTGTATACTTAATTATCAGTTGTGCCCAAAATAGTGTTTGGATGTGTTTGGACTTCTCTTGTAGGCTCTTGCGACTCATATTCAGGGCTTTTACCGTTTGACTGACAGAAGACACCCCGTCCGAGTGCACCGCCCGTCCGTGGGTCCGCGGGCGACGTGGCTCCGGTCCTCCTCCGCCGCAACTGCTCCCACAACGAGCCGCTGGGCACCGGCGCCGGCCCCAGGAGCTCCGTGAGATATTGGGCGCAAACGTCCCTCTGAGGCGGCTGTCGGAGGCAAAGAAAAGGAGTTGCAGGATGAAGGAAACTGAAAGCCTATGGGCCTATGGCCCTATAGATGGCCCCTAGATGTGGCTCCTAAATGGCCCCCCTAAGTGTGGCGCCCCTCGGCTGGCCAGTTCCACTGAAAGAAGCAGGTTTCGGAGGATCGACTGTGAAGGTTTCCATTGATCGACTGGTTTCCACGACCCAAAGATCGTAACAGTAACCCGTACGATGTGAGGTTTGTGGACCTCGGATGCCCGATATGTCACACACTATGCACATGTTTGCCAGTCAGTTGGGGTGGTGATTTCGGCCAGTTTCATGGGCCATGTTTGGGAAAAGCTTGGCATCACTAGTAGCCGGCAGGTTCTCAATTCTGAGAAGGCTCACTCACGACTTGGTCGTGGTTTGAGTCGTTGCTGGGCACCTCTTTGAGTGTTTGGAGCTCACAAACACGGGCTTTCAGCGCCTCAAGCTAATGGCCTTCCGTCTGGCGTCCACAAAGTAGACTCCTCAAAAACATCACGAAGACTTCGGAAGAAAAACCCTACCAATCGGCATTTGCCGTGACCTTTGGACGACGTGCAGTGAAGCCCTCGATATGTTAAGGAAGGGCTTTGTTGGCGCAACATGATGCAACACGTGCATGAACACACTTCATTGGCCCTTGGTGGATGTGGGGAAATGAACATGTGGTTCAATGCCCCTCGCGCAAAAGACATACTTTTCTTCTGAACTCCTACTAGAGTAATTGCCGTAGCATTGGTTGAACATGGTTGAACTACATGGCAAAAATCGCAATGTTGTTGTTGTTGTTGTTGTTGTTTCCCTCATGCCCCACCCCACTCCACTCCACTATTCAACTTCAGTTTCTTCTGCTGCACTCTAGCCAAAATGGCACTAAAGGCTTGCATGAAGCAAGAAAAGACACACAAAACCAATTCTAACAAGTTCCAGGATTCTTTGGATCACAGACTGCAGGTGGCAGGGCTGAGCCTCATTCACCTCCAAGACTTTCGCATGCCGGGCATCGAAGATGGACTTTGGCCCAGCGCGCTCAGGCTCTTGCTCGCTATGATACAACCTGAGCATGGCAAGGAGCAACCAAAATGGAAAGGACCAAGTGCTTGCCCATTCAACGGAAGCAACACACATGAGCCTCTTCCCCAGTGCCTGACCAGAAGTACCACAATCTCAAAGCCGTCTGTTGGAGTGTCTTTGATGCGAACCATCCACATTGTTCTATTCTATGGGGCGTACTCCAAGTGCAAATGCCTTCTGCGCGTGTGTCTGTGTATATATATATATATGTGGTGTTAAGCCGCTTGCACACTTATTGGTCATTGGGATTGGTTGGGATGTCGGATTAGTCCCAAGTGGAGGCTCAACATGAAAATGCTTGAATACAAGCGCGAATAAGCGCGATATGGCACGGCACAATGCTCGCCAACCTGCCCCCTTGCTGCCCGGTGGTTTAAGCAATCTTGTGACTTTCAAGCTATATTATTCGAGGTCTGCGGTTTAAGCCATCCCCCCAACCATATAAAGGAAAAAGGATGTGCCATTGATGAAACAGCATGGGAGCGGCATTCGCACAGGTGATGAAACACATCTTTCAAACCACCACCCAGGATTCCTGGCCCACCATTGATTTAACCCTGAATCCCTAAGAACCATTGTTTTACTAAGCAGTTTGCACATGACTCACTACGAACACCAGGTCAACAGTCCCTTTTAAGTCAGTCATCGGGTTGAGTAAGGCCTTTTTAGGGAGTGGTCCCAGTACTTCGGGTCACATCACCAGTCGATCTCGTGTGCAGGTGGAGAGGATCTTCCTGGGGCCGCAGTCATGGCGAAGGCACTGGATCTCGGTGCAACCAAAACCGGTGACCGGTGCAATCAAACGACTCAAACGACTATTTAGTCATCCGGCCATATCCAACCATCATCCATGTAACATCATACAAGTATGGTTCAGGGTCAGCAATATCTAACGTGCCTCACCATCCGCCTGAAACCTGTGACTTGTCTGTTTGTTTCTCTGCTGAGGAAACTCTTCGAGACAGTGGATTAGGAAAGTAAGGGGGGAACATGGACTCCAAACCGATGGGAGTCGTGTGTGTGCTGGATTAAACAAATTTTAGATCCGCGAAAACATGTGACAACCCCGAACCGAACCAAAGAGTTTAAGGTATGCTTGAGTCCATTCGATGTGTACAACAAGTTTATCCTGGGATGTTCGTTGCCCCCTCACATCGAAAATAATCGTCCCAAAACGAAGCGAACCTTTGCAGTCGTCTTTGCTCGCAAGATCTCCACTAGAACATGTCCACGCTAGAAAAAGAAAACGTTTGAAACATGTGAAACGCTTCATGAGTGCCATGAGCAACTTCTGGCGTCCAAACCGATGATCATCACGCACGTGGTGATTTGCTCAAGCTGCTAACTGTCAAGTGACAAGCACGAGACACGACGGATGTCAAACGCCCGGAGTTCTGTCAAACGCGCTCATGTTTTGCCAAGGTCTCCCATTGAGATAGTCTGCCAGCCGCTGCGCTTGCGGCAAGTGGCATTGCACCAAAGCTTTGGGCTGGCGCCGAGTGGTTTCCCAATGAGAAGCCTGGCACCACGGTGCTAAAAAGCCGATGACCACCCCACAAAGGACATGTGGGATCAAACTATAGGCATACCTCGATCTTCGTAGGAGGCACCTTTCCAAAGAAGTTGCCTTTGACCGTACGGCGGCGGTGGATCTAGGTATCTCTTGCGAGTGGCCTAAGCTTTCAAAATGAGTTGTTCTCAGATGTTCTCAGCAGTTGTGACTTCCCACATAGGCTGTGCCAGCACGGCCATCCAGCCAGGCGTGGCGCCACGAGCCAGTGCCACAGGCTGGGATGAACAGCATGAGCCGTCACTCATGCTTCGGTTCATCTCGAACATGGACCGTCTTGCAAGGGGTGCTAGACATGGACACCCCGAATGACCTCCATATAGGGGCTATTCATGGACACCCGAAATCTGTGGTGCTGGAACTGACGTAAACATTCATTTACTGCTCAGATCCATTTATTGATCTGACAGGTTCAGTTGTTTCAAGCATGAGCAGGTGTGGACCCTCGCAAAATACAGCATCGCTCCTGGAAAAAAAAGACACGAACATGTGATCTGCACACATCTGAGCAACGCATGGTGGGTAGGTTTGTGGTTGTTCTCCACCAGTGTTTCCAAGTTGGTCTCTGCTCGTGATCAAGCCCATGGCTGCGGCATCCCCTACGCCCTACTACGCCCTAACTATTACGCCCTACAACACAGAACCGGAACAAATAGACCATTGGAATACCCGTTGATGCTGCAAAGCATGGGGTGTATCTGGCGACCAGTTTATATATATTTTTTGCGAGAAATCTCTGGCACCGAGCTTCTGGTCATCGGTCACTGGACTCAAGAACCAACAACCTATCCTCTCCAACAATCAAGGAAGCGGATGGCATGGCCCCTGGCATGGATGAACAAACAAAGGTTTGTCCACTTCCATGTCTGCAGGGAGAGTACCGGGATAATGACACGAAACAGCCGACGGCAGCCTATCTTCACCGAGCTTTCTTCAAGCGCCCATTCGAATCAACCCATTTGGCTCTTTGTGGTTTTCATACATGGTGGTTAGATATGGTTAGTAAAGGCCTTTCTCTAACATGGCGTTAACATGTGATAAGTGATAACTGTTTACTGACTGTTGCAGGTAGTAGGACAAACCCAAGTTTGTGGTCTCAACCAGGTCAGCAGTCAGAGGGAGAAAAAAACACTGTCCTCATTGGAAGCCCGGCGCCGCACCTCTGCGAGGTGTGCAGTTGCACGGTCCATCCTGTTCGGCGTCCTTGAAGGCTTTCGGAAGCTCAGGCGGCTCGGGACACGGTGGCTATGGTGAAGTGTGGAAGATAGTCATGCAACCTGAAAACCAGCTTGGCCCACCGAGAGGCATGTAAAAATTAATGCCATATCAGTGCCATATCACCTTCAATACGTTCAATACCACCTTCAAAAAGTACCACGACTGGATGACCATCCCATTGCAGCCACTACGCACAATGACCATGCACACATGAGATCACATGAGATTAGTGAGCCGGGTTGTACGTGCAAGGAAGCCATCACTTGGGTTTCCAGTGGATTATGTTGGTGAAAGCTGGGATTTGCTTAAGAAAGCGGGAAGAAAGTAAAGAAGGGCCCAGTTTCAGCAGGGGGTTCACTGATAGGGAAATTGAACATAGACAGGTTTCAGCCTCCGGCCAGGCATGTGTTCAAGCATTCCTTCCTTCGATCCATGCGGAATCGGGTCACCGTATCCATCAAGCGGAACATCGTCGAGACCAGCGGATTGGAGGCGTTCCAGCGGTTTGGGGGGTTGCTGGGTTGTGCCTATAATGTGTCTCTCTTCGAGTACCCCTTTGTCAGCGAACTTCAACTGGAGTGAAACCTATATGGCCTAGAGGCATTGAACATCTTTGACATCACGATCACAATATCCATGCTAATTCCTCAGCTCGGCCAATCCTATGCCCAAAGTTTAGCTCCTCATTTTTTCCTCCACCGCCCAGGACACCCAGAAATGAATACCCCAAACACCGAGTTTCGCTGCTCTCTCGCAGTTCTCTTCAGCTTGGCCCTCTCCTCGCTGCGGGAGGAAACGAAACTCCTCCCCACCGGCGTTTCACGACACTCGGAGGGTTCCACGACCGGTCGACGTCCAGTCCAGTCGCGGCCCCGGGAGGGTCGCGATGATCAGCGGGGCTGATCTGAGATCGGAAAGACTCGTGTTTCACGACAAGAAGCACATGAGCCGTTCGACCAGTCCGGAATGAGCCAAGACAACGACGGTGAAGATTGATTTATAACAAGGAACACAAGGAAAAATCAACAAAATTGTATAAAATTATGGTGCAAGATGTGCATAATTACTGAACACCGGTTCCATGAAACAAGCAGTTGATGCGGGGTGGGCTAAAACACTCTTAGGCATTGGTATTTCAGGTGTTTCTCAACTACAGATAACTACAGTATGCCTTTGCAGTTGGCTTTTCTTGTCCAGGGCTCGAACCACCTCCTGAGAAGATGGTTGGTGGGGTTCGGGAGTCTAACCACCTTCTGAGGAGATGGTTGGAGCCCTAAGGACATTGAAATCTTGATGATGGATGGTCGTCTCCCTCCACCGACTGGGGAAGAAAAGCGCCTTCGTAGCGACCGCGGCCGTCGCCGGCTTTCTGCCGCTTCTCATCGCGCTTCAGCAGGTGCAGCTGGTCCAAGGTATCAAACCAGGATTGGTTGATGGCGTCGTGGAAGACGGGACGGTGAAAAGCATACCTCGGCTGAGTTGAAGCACTGTGCGCACTTTTTTTCGTCGACGCGGGGCTTGACGTTTCGAAACGATGGCAAACCAGTTGACTCGCCTGTGAGAGATTTGTGCAGGGAATGAGGGTGGCCGGATCGAAAATCCTTGATCTTCATCCGCGATCCTGCCACCCTCATTCCGGATGAAGATCAAGGAATTTAAGGGATTTGCACAGGGAATGAGTGGGGTCTCTCTCATTCCTTGATCTTCATCCCCAAACGAGTCGCGACCTTGGGTGGCACCTCCGGTAGGTCGGGAAACCGGCCGGGACACCTGCCACCCAGCAAAATGCCCTTTCTGCTCTGTAGGTAGTTCGGGTCCCATAAAGTCTCTCAACCTTTCTTGAAGCGTAAAAATGAATCCTCGAGCAAACATGTGATGTATTAAAAAAACCCTATACATTTTGTATGACCACTTTTAGCCTTATCGTTTTTTTAAACTCTTTATCGTTTTTCAATGTTTGGAACTCAGTATGCAGTCTCTTGTCGTTTCCCAGCTAACCACACATGTCCCTGCCTCCACTGCAAAAAAAGTCATGTGGGTTCACTGGTGTTGGGGTCGGCCTTCGGAACGGGGACCGGTTCCCGGCTCGAACGGTCTCCCGGTCAAGGGAGATGTCTCGATGTCTCGGGGGGCAGGTCGCGTGGTGATGCCCATGGGAGAGTCACCGGTGGGACTTCACCTCTTCGCCGGTGACTCCCCTCGGTAAAGAGACACAAAGACAGGGGGAGAGGAGAAAAAGTGCACCAAAAGTAGCTAGTTAATTGTTAATTCTTAGTGATTTTCCTGGTCAAATTCCTTCAGTTCCTGGCTTTCCTTGATGTTTGGAGTTTGTTTGAAGGAAATTTTGAAAAGTGTTGAATTTGTACATGTGGGACATGGTCTTCCCGAGGGCTTTTTCGTGAATTCTTGTTATTGTTTTTGTTATCGTTTTGGAACCCCCGACGCTTCACCCAACGGACTCAAATTCTCAAGAATGATTCACATGGGTGCTGTTGACTTGTCGGCCTAACATCCACTGAATTAGAATTCATGCATGTACATGCAACTACTTACCCATATGGATCAGCAAATGTCTACCCATGTCCCAGCGATGCTCAAGGAGCCAAACAAGAAATCACTCCTGAATGCTTGTATTACACGAAAACCTTGACATGAAACACTCTTGTTAAAAAGAATGCACCTGAAATCAATAACTGGATTTGACAGCTATTTGCTTCAAGAACTGAAGGCATTTGAATTTCCAATGCTTCTATTCTCATGTACTGTATTGCATGCATTTCATGAGTGTTATCGTTGTTTTTAACTCTTTATCATTGAACAATGAATCAGCCATGGTTTGCTAAAACGGGACCGCTGCTTACATTTCTCCTAGGTCCCGGTTTTTTTTAAACTTCATGTGTCTTGATCCTTTGGAGTGTGAATTTCCGAGAAAACAGTATTTTCAGGACTGCATCCGCGGCCATCCAATTGGTGCTACACCTGATTTGACCCTTGCTTTGGGAGGGGCAAGACCATATTTGGGGTAGTTGGTGGTCCAAAATAGAGGTCACACAGGGTCTAGCTGGTTATTGGATGTTATTGGAGGATACAAGCAGGTGGTGCCCAATATCCACTCACCCTTCACACCGCTGATGTACTTTGTGCCCATCCAATCTCGCTTCTCCATCTTTCCTCAGTGGCTGCTTGTATGGAGCTCAAATGCCCTAAGGACCTCAAGAGGTTTGATGAGATGGTAGGGGGAGAAGGTGGGGATCCAAGTAAGTACTTCAAACGGTTAATATCACTAATAATCAATACGCTCCTCTGTGCCATCAGCAAGGTTCCACCCCGTGAAGCTGCGTGTTATTCATGATTGCTATACATATGAATAAGAAAATTACAGTACGTTAAAATTATGTAATATATAATAAGACACGAACAAAAAACAACAACACCCAAATCAAGAAAAAACACACACAAAGACAATGCCGTACTGCCCACAATAAAACGGCTCCGTCTGATTCCGTCTGAACCCGAACCGAGTTGAACACGTCACCGGCACCAACGATCTACCGGCACCCCGCCCTTCTCTGCCCGTTTCCCAGCCCTTGAGGCCATCCCAGACACCCGCACGAACGCCTAGTCTCCCACCAGCTGCACCCACGGCTCCAACAACTTCAGTCGATGCACTTGCAACGCCTCGGCCGTGGGCCGGGCCCCACATGACGCTTCTTTCAGTGGGAACCACGTGATGGCAGGGTCACGCTTTTGGCGCTTCTCATAGGTGGACTCGGTAGAGAAAAGGAGCACCTGTCGGGTCACCCAGCACTATGTTCTGAAGCATCCTGGACGAAATCCGACGTCCGCCAGCATCCGATAGCAGGCTATCAATGTCTAGCAGGTTCTACGTCACTCTCACGGCTATAGAATTGGTCATACATGGAGTGACATGTAGACCCTTTCTGCACAACTACACAGCAACCGCACAAGAAGGACGCGTCCCATGCGAACCCACATATGGTTTTCAGTGAAGTCATGATGATCATTATGATGGTCTAGAGTCTGATCTCTAACTCCCTGCAGGCTCCTTAATATCAACAGGAGTGTCCTGACTGACTCCTGACAGGAGGTACAATTGTTTGTTGTTTTTAGGGGTAGCATGTGCAGTAAGCAAAATGTTGCGAACGTGAAAGTCATTTGCGGTGTCCACTGCTGGGCACCTGGAAGTCACGCAAAAGCATCACAACAAGTGCAGGTGAGATACCAGCTGGCAGGGAGCACGAGGAAGCTCCGGCCGGGCGTGGAAGGTGAGTAGCTCCTGAGCTCTGAGAAATGCAAGCTACATTAGTCGGAACTGGACATCTTCAGCTGAGAGGCAGCACAAGAGAGCTTGGTCCAACTCCCTTTTCAACATCTTCTGAAGGTATGTGAATATGGGCAAGAGGTAAGACATGGTAAGATACCAAAATCTTATTAGAGTCTATATACACATACACATAGCCTCAAGCCTCCAACAGGTCTTGTATAAAGTATAAAGGGTTCTTTTCACCCTAACAGGTTTTAATAGGTGAGTCTTTTGGCTGGAGCTGGTATGTCTTGCTGTGTGCATTTTGGGTTGTTGATGGTGTCCCTTGATGGACACCACAGAGGTGCCAAGCCAATCGATGTTCTTCCATTCGAGGCGGCGACAGCGTCTCACACCCTTGCTGCTGGGTCGGTCGCGGCTACCCTCCTCAAAAAACCGCCTGGTGTATGGACGCTTCAAATCACACAATCATCTGGTTTATTTTATAAGCCACGAGGTGTTTTTTAGCGACCCAAGTATACCTTCTCAGGTACGGTGATTGGAGACACTGTGATGTAGGTGCCAGGAGGGTAGTACCTTCTGAGGTTCGGTACGACTGGATCCCAAACGGGTGTTAAAGGTCCATGGAGGTGCATCGTCGACGGTCTCAACCAAGTCTCGACCACGTCTCCCACGTGAAGATCCTTCAAGGCCATCTCGGCATCCTGTCAGACTCAAGGCATACATAACCACCCATTTGGATTGTTAAACCTCTTTATCTATGCGGGGCTTTATGGATCAACAGTCTACATTATATATATATATATATTTCATCCCAGATTCCATCCAATGTACAGGATTTTGGGAGGCCTGCTATATAGAAGCGTGAGGATAGGCTATATATCAGCCCAGTGGTATGTCGGGTGTTTGGGGATGGTTTGGAAGGCCATGCAAGACCCAAACAGCTTCTGTGAAGGTTTTTCAGCCCCTCTATAGGGAACATAGTCTTTGGCCCATCGCATGTCATCACAACAGGTTGCTCCCCTGACACTGACTTGGTGATGCTGAAGTGTGGATTGAGACTCTGAGAAGGGTGTGTGTGTGTGTGTATGTGTGTGTGTGTCGGGGATGCTTTTGGTGGCTTTGGAGTGTCCAACCACCTTTTCCGATGGAGGGGCAAAGGTCTCTGGAGGGGCCAAAGCAGACGATGCAGGGGCATCCACTCGCGTTATGGCCCTGTGAGCTCATCAAGACGGTGGCCTGATTTCAACCTGCAGGTCTGTGGCCCCCCTTCTCCACAGCCCCGGCCTTCTCTGACATCAGCTGCGTTTGAAAGCCATCTCTCGATCGATCACCTGAGCGGCGCATCAGGTCACTTCTTCTGTCAATGCCAGGTCACATCTGCCACCGGATCTGCAGGATCTGGGTGGGGCTGTTTTGGGGGTTCCATCGCCACCTGAATATCAACAACCCGCTCTGGTTGCTCACACGCCAACTGGGCACCTGATGAAAGGCGATGACAGGCATGCCATCCTGAATCACTCCTGTGACGTCGTTGCCCCCGTGTGACATCGGATGCATCTAACCTTCCTCTGGCCCCAACCTCATCAAGGCTCAAATATCTGGTGGGACCCGGTGCTGGTAGGACATCTTGTCCACCTGCACCAGCTATCCCACAGCTACGAAGAACTCCAACCACTACTCAGTCCACCGCCAGTGATGACATCGACCACTTTCCCCAAAAGAGTCCAGCGGCGATCGTGGCACGTGACCAACTCCACCAAAAAGGACTCCTCGAGATCTACATGCGGACACTGATCTTGCCCGTTTGAGAGCAACGAACTCACGAACATGGTGAAACATTGTGAAACCCTTGCAAATCATCATAAACTACTTGAATCACTGAAGCCTCACCTTCCAAGCAAGCCGCAACTTCGAACTGCGGCTCGACGACCAATTTTGGCTGCGTGCGAAGAGGCAAACTTGAAGGGCTATTCGACTTCCCTACTATTTAGTCGCGCAAACGTCTCACAAGCTAATTACTTGGGTTGTCTTGTGTTCCTGTATCTTCCTGTCCCATTTGGACCTCCCTCCCTTCTCCTGAGAGGATGGGTCCACCATCAGCGCATCGAAGAAGAACAGCTGACCCACCTGAGACCGACGGTCCTCGAGATCCGCGCGGGTCCGGTGGTCAGCACCGGCCCGGTTGACCCCACATCCCCAACGGATCCAAACGGATATAACGAGCCGTACCAAAAGCCATCCACTGGATGCTTGATGCTTGATGCTTGAGGGGCTGAATACGATCTGGTCATCCAAAAGCTCGATTGAAGCCCCCCTAGACTTGGTGTTGAGTAGTCGTGCACGCCCTTGGACCCCTCCCCACATGCCGATCCCGATCCTGGACTGACCCCCCAGTCCAACCATCCCGGTTGAGAGACATGAACTGCCTAGGGCCCAGATGCTCCAACCAGCCCGACTGGTCCGATTGGAGACCCCGGACTCGCCCAGGGGATTCGGGTCCAGTATCTGGGATTGTCTGGGCGGATGATCGGGAGGTGGGAGGTCTCCCCCTTAGATAGATGAAGATCGATATATGGTCAAAGGGATCCCATGGGAAAGGCCAAAAGAACAGGTTAACATATTATGTTAACATCACATCGGCTGTTTGGAGACCTCACAGAAAAGGTAACCCTCAACCGTGCGACCGGCCCGACCCCGTGGCTCGGTCCGTCCGCCTGTCGCCGGTGGAAGATCCGCGCGGCGTGACCACCGCCCAGGCGCGCCACGAAGGCCGTCAAGCGCGCCACGTCGGCGTCGTCCTGACCGGTCGGGCTGCGGCAGTTGGCGTCGAAGAGGACGACCGGTGCGTCCCAAACGCGACCATCCAAGACCCTCATATACCAGACCATCGCATCCATGGGACTGGAAAGGGGTCAGTATGTTATTATGTTATCTTGTAACTATTCCAGTCCCATGGATGCGATGGTCTGGGTATGGAGGCACCGGACGGTCGGGCTGCGGCTTTCCAGGTCGCGCCGGGTCGTCTCTGTGACTGACGTAGATTAGAACGCTACCAACAGGGCTCCTGGCCTTACTACGACCTTGACTTAACATGCTTTTGGATCTGAAAGTCGCGTACATGGGGTGTATCCCATAACCACAATAAGAGTGGATGATGATGGTTATGTTGCAGGCCTTTCTCAAAAATTGTGAAGTCATGTGAAGTCATCTTTCATTGACTGTCATGACTGTTACTGTTACACTGACTGTTACATGGGACACACACACAGTAAGCATACAAGCTTGATCTTGGAAGTACCAACCATCATCCGTCCGGGTGTGAAACCCATCCGGAATTGAGGGGCTCCCGTGACGTGTGGTGAAAACAGGCGGACCAAAATGGCGAAACCGTTTGGAGCTGTGGTGGCTGGTGCTGCACGATTCAATTGCAACGGAGTAGGGAAGAGGACACTGCTCCAAAGTGAACAAACAAACATTGTAGAAAAGTGCGCAGTCTTTCACAGGTGGCCTGAGCGTGAGCATGATGGTCCACGTTTCGCTAGCTTCAGCCAACCTGCCTGGCTGTCTGGTCATGTGTGATTTAAATATGTTTAAAGCCCTCAACTCGATCTCAACATCTCATTTCTCGCATGTTGACTGGAGAACTTTTTGGACATTTCGCAACTTGAAAGCAAATTGCCAGCAGTTTGCTTAAGTCCTCCTCAGCCATCCCCGACTCCCCGACCCGACCCTAAAAAAGACCTGTGGCTTGGCTTGTGGTACTGTATCTGTACCATCTATAGACCTATAGAACGAGAGCACCAACCAACCATTTAAATGTGGTCTCTTCGTATCAAAACTGTCATGTCTGACATGTCTGACTTTTTAACCCTCTCAAAGCCAAGACTCGGTCGACGTCATGGGGGTTGGAGCACCCTCACGCTCACGGGCTCATGGGCTCATCTGCATTCCAAGTTTGAAGCTTGGAGGTTGGCCAAAGGTTGGAGGTTGGTGAAGGTTGGCCGGTTCAAGTATGAGAGCTTTGTGATTCAGATGATCTGTACCAAGTCTATATACAAATAATATATATATATAAATCTTACCAGTGTCTCAGCTTCATGAATGATAGACCTGTTTGGTCCGGATGCGATGCGAAGAGCGCTGAATCCCAGATCAGTCCAAGTACCGGAATGACCCTCGCTCCGACCTCCCGTCTCTCGCTTGAAGTACCTGGAGCCCAAACGGGACTGTTTCTGGGTGCATGCCATGACATGCCAATCTGCTGGCTTCTCAGGACAAAATCCCGGAAGGATTCGAGCCGCGCATGGCTGAACGAAGAGGGCACTGTTTCTTGGGGTCGGCCGCACAACGCTCGGGCCTCTTATGGCGTGAGTAGATTGGCAAAATGGCAAGGGTGTGATGAACATGTGAATCCATAGCTGTTTGGATCTGTTTGAGGTGAGAGCGCCGTCTGCGGACTGGACCGAAGGATGTTGCGCCATTTTACTGCCAATTCCCCATTCTGGGACTCAATTCAGAAAGGTCCCACCCAGGATTTCAGCAATGAAGGAGATGGAGAGATGGATGAGCAACCACTAAGATTCCAAATGGTCAACGTCAGTTACACAATCTGCCGCTGCACACCGTCCAAGAAGCACATCGGTAGAGGACCACCATCACCATGAGCATCACCTGCCGGTGTTCTGGTGGGCTTTTGCAATCGTCAGGGTTGGATAGCACCAGCCCAGGCTAAAAGGAAATGACACCAAATCACGGAAAATCATCCTCAAATGGGGCTTTAGATAAAGCGGCTTTTCCAACGGCATTTGTTGAGGAGGAAACCGTTTGGCAATGCCGCTTTGGGGCCCAAGGGTGCCGCCAAATGGCCCGAGAAAACACCGGTGATCTGAGACACCGAGATGTTCCACTCAAAGTCGGTTGCCAGATGAATCCGTTGGTGGAGAACCTCCTATGTTCTCCTGCAACCAGCAGGCAGTTGTTTAAAATAGTCTGTTGAGCAAACTAACACACAAACACACATATTTTCCAATTGTTGTTGTTGTTGATGTTGTTGTTGTTGTTAATCTCATGCTACATGTGGTACGTGACCCAAGTTTCTTGCCAGGTGGCCCATCGGCTGATCCAAGTGCCATTCATGGTGAGCACTGCCTTCAGCAAAAACGACCGGGTTCTCATGGTCAAAGCGTGAAAACATGCTGTGACATGTTGTATCACAAAATGGGGGGGACCGATTTTGGTCTATTCCCTTCTTCCAGGAGGTCTTTGGGAGGTCTCCCTATTGTAACAAACTCCCAAATGGAATCCACTGTCGAAGCGAATTCGCCTGTGGGAGTGCTCTGATGAACAACTTAAGCGCCCTGGAATTTCCTCCAGGAAGTGACGTAGCCGCCTTTCTGCCCTTGAATCCAAACCTTGCCGCCTTTCTGCCCATCGAGGCTTCTGAAGTGTTCATGTCTGGAACCCAAAAAAAAGCTGAACAAATGGCCATCGGGATTGAACTAATAATTAATAGGAAGCCTTAAACATCGCCTGATGGAACGCTCAAGGGGCAAGGCGGCATGAGCATCCACTGCTTGAGAAACACTTTAAGAAGCACGGAGCATGCCTTCATTTGCCAAATGTTCTCTGACAAGGTGTCGCTGCTTGATTCGATTCCATTCTCTTCAACTTCTGCAAATGTCAAAGGGAAAACAATAAAACACGCTTTGGGGAGGTGTGTCAGTGCCCTGGCTACTCCGGGACAAACAAAGACCCGACATGTTGGAACCAACAAAACTATTTGATTCGTCACGGAACATCTTAAAAAAGGGGATTCGTCAGCGGGAGTGTCAACGCACCAAGAGAACGGTGCGGTTTTAACCGATGGCGCTTGGAGCTCAAGAGCTCTTCAAGCCGAAGAGCCAGCATCCGATGCCAAACCCAATCTCGCACCTCCTGAGGAGCTCGTGCGAAACCGGAGGTCCAAAGCGGAAGAGCTCGGTCCGGGGCCGAGGGTCACGAGCTGGGTCACTTCCATGTGTTCGGCGTGTGGAGCGACATGGGTGAAGCCAGTCCCCCCTTCAGGTCGATGACCTCAACTTACAAATCCATGATGTCCGGATTTAACTCGACCTGGAAAATGAAAAACCACGACCAGTTCGGGGTCAAATGAGTCATGACCGGACTCTCAGGGCAAATCATGACCTGCAAATTCTTCAACAGGTGTTCAGGGTGTGAAATGGGAATCCATTCAATTCTCAGTCGCGGCGAGAATTGAGGTCTTGGGTGGTCGGACTCATTTCACCGAACCTCGGGTTTACCTCACCCAGGTGTCAGAAGAGGAAGACAAGAACAACAAAATCAACAACAACAACAACAACAACAACAACAAGAACAAGAACAAGAACCACAACCACAACCACCACCACAACACAACAGCACCAACAACAGCACCAACAACAGCACCACCACCACCAACAACACCGCCACCACCACCACCACCACCAGCAGCAGCAGCAACAACAGCAGCAACAGCAGCAACAGCAGCAACAGCAATAACGACGACAACAACAACAACAACGTACAATATACAACGTATAACATATAACACACAACATCATACAACCTACAACAACAAAAGACTCGTTGGGATAGCTCAGAATTGACCCCAAGAACTCAACTGGCCTTGAACATCTGTCTATACTTTGTCTAAGTCTTCCACCCCTCGGTCACATCTCCTGTTACCAACAGCTACCGGAACCCTCCCTGGAACCGCCAGACGGCTCCGACTCCGACCGCTCACCGAGGCGCGGCGAAGGTCTGCACCGCTAAGGTGAAGGACAAGGAGAGGCTCGTCGCCGTCGAAAGGCCGATCCAAATTCTGCCAGCCGCGCGCCAGCGGAAGGAGGACGGAGGCGCGCGCCGTGAAGGAGAGGCGTGGTGGTGTGTGCCGTGTGTCCAAGCGCGAAGGAGGAGCGAGGGAGCCAGGTTTTTTTGCGGCCGCCAAAGCATACCCAATTCCCGCTTTTGGAGGGAGCATGAGTGGTAGCAAAACCTTGCTTGTGAGCTAACGAGTGCACAAGGATTTGGAGAATGTGACCAAGCTGCTTAGGGTCATCCTACTGTCAAGTCACCTGGTTGATTTGTCCCTGAACTAGGGTGGCTGGAGTGTAGCAAACAGATTTTGGCAACGTGTGAACTTGGGCAAAATGCCCCCGCTTGTAGATGGAGTTGGCTTCGAATACACCTAGGACCTACTGCTGCCTGCCATGATTCGATAGAGTTCAATCCTTGGAGAATGTTTTGGGGCCGCTGACATCAACAAAGGATTGGTCCCTCGAAAGGGGTTGCTTCATCGGCTGAACGAGAAACCCCTCGGATGGGTCCAGCTGGGAAATTTCGACAGGAACTCTGGTGGGGGGAGCAAATCTCTAGTCTTCCGAACTGTCCAAAATATCTTTTCATCCACCAGCCAAGTTTGGCAGAAATGGTTCAGAGTTTGGAAGATCTAGGAACCTCCAACTCCAATAGAAAACGGATGATGACAAATAAATCATGGTGGAACCCTGGGCAACTCCCGGATTCTTTGGGAACGTGGACAGCAAAGACACATCTAACTCGCACATGGGGACATTTGGACAGTCAAAGTACCTCATCATATGGGGCGTCCCATATGAACCATAATATAGAAACCAACCAGCACCCTCCAACAGGTCACCAATTGAGACCTGTTAGGGTCCAACAACCTCAACTAACAGCCTATTCACATCCCAGGACCATTGAACAGAACGGACTGCCAAGAACGTCTATTACGGTCTTGCCATGTTTTTTGCCCATGGTTGGCCCAAACCCAAATCAGTCACTCTTTGTTACATACTGTAGTGTGTTCAGGCGTGCTTGTCTGGCATTCAATGCGCAAGAAAGAGACTCTAACATGACTGAAATTGGATCGATGACGCAACAATGCTGTTAACATCTGTTTTACTCTGCATGCTGATTTGCACCTTTTTGTCCAAGCCGACTTCACCAGAAAACACACCCTGCAGCCAAGCGGCTTGTCTGACAACGAAGCGCTCTCAAACCAAACCAGGAAAATGCCTCCCGAGGTCACGATGGGAGGACATCCAACGTCGGGTTGTAGAGGAAAATCGTCTTCCAAACGTCCATTTTTATCCATTTTTCAGGTTCCATGTTCATATTCCTGGGTATCATGCCATATTGGCATTGCCGAACCTTCCAGAAATTGCTGTTCGATCTGGGAGGTCTCCCTTTGGTTCATGCACACCCACATGGAGTTCGACCAATCTTCGGATGAACGGATAGTTTCGACCCTGTGTCACATGACCCATATTATGGGTCATGGACTCCTGGACACCGTTCGCTTCCGGTTGACAAACCAATCCATCCGCAATCCAAACATCTCAATGAACGGTCGATGGATGGTGTCCATCACTGGGTGAACCTCAGTCACCATGTTGGAAACTCGTCGACTAAGCCGTTACTAGTCGACTAAGCCGAAGCCTGGTGGCAGGTAAAGCAACATCAACAACCCAAAAGAATTGGTGTCGTTTCAGATTCATCCATCTGCATCTGATTTTCCATGCCAGTGCCAAGTTTCCTTCATAAAACTGCACTGACGTTGGAGCTCAACCCCCCTGATTTTAGAGTGGGATTGTCCAGGAGATCTATTTTCCCTCATCTTCCCAACCTCCTTAGGCCACCTGCCTGGTCATGCCTGGTCTCACCGGTCGCGCGGCACTTCTCTGTTTCTCCACATCAGGCCGTTGAACAAAGGCCGTTTTGGCAAACCCTGTCATGTGGAGTCCACGCCGGAGCCCCCGATGCGATTCGCTGGCTTTTTTCAAAAGCCACACATCGAGACACCTCGAAGGAGACGGCAAAGCTGCAGGACGCTGCAGGACGCTGAACCCATGTGCCACGAGGGGCCGAGACTGTGAGTCAGCTCCAAGTGCTGCGTGATTTCGCAGGCCAAGACGTGACTTCTTCTCAGGTACATGTAATGTACATTGTACAACCATTATGTAATTACACGCTATTGTAACTTAACCATGTTTTTTGATGTGTTCAAATGCAGTCTATGGAGCCACTTGTTGCCATTGCTGTTTCATGTTCATTCATTTTCTAGATCTATCTTATATTACTATAAATATATACTAATAATTAGTGGAAGTGCAATCTTTGAGGAGGGTTCACCATGTGGATGAAGGATCCACCGATCCATCATGCAAAGTTGGAGCACGGTCACGAGCGTCTTCAACCGTTCGGTCATGTCAGTCAAGGCCCACGTCCGCACATGACCCTTGATGCCTGAAGGCCCTTTGGAAGGTCTTCCGAGCCTGTAAGTCGGGAGGACATTCTTCTGCGGGCGCTTGCCCAGAAAGGTTCACCAGACTCCTTATAAATTGTCCTTCTGGCCGAGCCTGGTGTAGCAAAATCGCCCTCAAACGCAGCAGCCCAGCTCGGCAGCTCTTCTTTTGCAGCATTTTGCAGTACTAAGGAGGCTGGATTTGAGACTGTGTTTTAGTGGGGATTCTGGCATTCACTTTCATATCTCTGGTGGCGGCAGGGTCACCAAATCTCGTGTCCAACATCGATCCGATGCATATGCACCTGATGAATCCTAATGATATCAAACCACCCCCCAAACGAGATGTCAATCATCCTGCTAAGGGGGTTGATTCATCCTGCCACTCAACATTACGGCGCTCTTCAGCCCACTTTGAGGATGTGAAGCTTCTCAGTTGATCGGGCGATTTCGGGCTCAAAATCGGGTTCCGATGAGGTTTCTGAAGCTTTGAACTTGGCATGTCAAGGAATTGCCCTTGTAGCAAATACTAGTAGTACAACAATGCCGACAATGCCTGTCCTGCATATGCAAATCAACTAACAATGAGTTGTCCGGGTCCTCTTTGACACCTGGGGCTGGCCTGAGGATTGCTGCGTGTGGCAGTTCTACGGTGCTCCAGAAGCGCTTTGCGCGAAGGAGTCACTCAACCTAGACAGACAAGTGACACTGAGACTGCCGTATTAATCCACCGATTGAATTGAAGTAACTTTTGCCAGGTACTGTGGGACTGCTGTCAAGAAAGGTGCGGAGTTAGTATATAAATCAAATTAGATCAGTGGGGGGTGAGGATGTTTTATTCATGATTGGCACAAGCCTCAAGTCTCGCACCTAAATATTACATAAAACCCAAAGAGTCCACACAAAAAGATTATAAAATGAGAAAAATCCAAACGTTCGAACATGTTAGAACATGTTAGGAAAAAGTCATTCCACTATCATATCCCAACTATCATATACTATCATTATAAATTAAAGCGGAACAAAGAAACCTGAAGAGTCATAGTTTATGCATGTCTTTGTTTGTCTATACTATGGTTGCTTTTCTTGTTGTTCTACTTTTCTCGTGCTTCTACTTGTCTCGATGTTGAGCTGCTCATTTTTTCGGGTATATACATTATACGTACTAAAATATAACCATCATTTAAAATTTAAAGGATTCCATCCGCATGTTGGACAAGCTAGCCAAGTACAACTCGGCGATGAATCTAGGACACAAGGTGAGATGATGGTAACATAACTGCACGTTCTTTCGTTCTATTTAACTGCGTAACCGTCACGAAAGAACGAACGCGTCACGTGGTGACTGTCTGAAAAACCCCCATGTAGCGTCGCGTCGCGCGCCACGTGCTGGCACCGTCCGGCTCCCTTCTTTTTGCCAAAGGAGCCCCTGTTCAACAAGTTTGACAAATGGATGGGACCAAACATGTTATCATGTTTTCGTGTATGCTACAAATCATTGACATCATGATCCATTGAATAACAGGCCGAATGCTGTGAATCTAGCACAAATGCATCATCAACCATGTTCCTCTCTCTGCTCGTGTCTTTCCCGGCTGGAAGGATTTCTATCCATTATCCAGCTGCGCATGGCTGAAATTGAAGCCAATCCAAAAATTTAAAAAACAGTCATACAAATGTCAAGAGGATTCAAGAGGTACTTTCGAACCCCTCTCCAATGGCTATAATATGTTATGGGTGATCGACTTTGAGCTTCTGACATGTCCAACTTGATTTCTGCAACAAAAGGCCATCGGGAATCCAATGAAACATCTTCTCTTGGCAGCCTCACGTACTTGTACAAGGATCATGAGACCGGCTCCTTGGCCGGCTTTACAAGCAAAGGTGGACAAGCAGGTCCAAGCAGGTCTTGATTTCCACACCAGTCGTGCCAGGAAGTGGGGATGAGCCAGGTTGCCCTGAATATTGATAAGCCATTTGCTACGGTCGTAGCTTCTTGCGGTGCAGCGATGGCCTCCCTACTTGCGCCTCCACCGAGCATAGTGTCCTTGCTGCTAAGTGAAGTCTCTGGACTCTGGCCCTTCCTGCTTCAAGATTCTGTGCAGGAGGCAGTCCCCGCATCGACGACGACTGGCGCTGTTCAAAGCTTCTCAGCGACGACTGGCGCAGGTGGAAAGTCCACTAAGTAATCATCGTCCTGCCAAGCACGGGTGGGATCGAACCAGGATCCTTCGACCTAGAACTCTTCGCATCAAGAATGGAACCCCCAAAAACGCCAGCCCCAGGTGCAAGTGGGAGCAAGAAAGAACTGGGTTGGTCAAGCAACATGTGGCGCTGGGTCCCTCCTTGGTGCGTCTTGGTGGTTCAGCAGGATATATGATATAAGTTTAATTAGGCCGCTTAGGCCCATGAAGCTTATATGACTCATTATGACTCTAATATCCTCTGACCAAGAACCAGGAGCTCGCCAACGCATTCTTTCAGCATTTTCACCTCACACCCACTGGAAAGACCTGCGCCGGGAAAACGCCGCATATTCTTGGGAGCGTTGAACTCTCTTCATTCACCTGCGGAAGCAACAAGGTTGGGAGTTCTTCGTGCAAGTCTGAGGACCATTGGCCTCCCGTCTGCTTCCAAGATACCTACAGTGGTTTCAGAGTAGATAGCACAAACCGTCTTTGAGAATGGGGGTCCATATAAACCACCTGCCACCTACTCTGAAACCACTGTATATGTTCAACCCCTGCACAAATAGTTTGAGGGAAGCCGTCCTTTTTTGAGGGTGCCACAGCCACTCCCAACAGCTCCTTGCTCAAGTGCTCAAGAGCTGGAGGACCAACCTCCTTGTGCCTGCTGCCATCCTGACGCGTTCAACCGACTTCGTGAAACTGTCCACTGCCCTTTTTCAGAAGATGTACACAAGCTGTAGGGCCTGGCCTCCGGCCCTGGCCTTCCCTCAAATCCAAACCATCTCAAACCGGTATACCCGAAGTAGCTTCTTGTTCCCAGTAGTAAGGCCAGGAGCCCCTAGTATAGTGTCCTTGCTCCTAGTAGCGATGCCCTTTGTTCCTAGTAGCTTCTTGTTCCTAGTAGCTTCTGGTGGGGCAAGCGACCCGAAGGAAGTTGGAACATGGAACTCTGACATGCGGTCTCCACTTCTTGACTGTTGACTATGCAACATCTGATAAACTTGAAACATATATTCATCAACATATAATAATGACATACAGTGATAACTACAATGATACAGTAAGGCATTCAGCCAGGATCTTCCCCCAGCAGCCACTTTGAGGCATTTTTGGTCAATGATCAAAGGAAGATTGGCCCACCACGGGGGCACCGTGAATTCTTGGCATCATTGATGTTGGTCCAGAATCCCCCACCCTGCAGCTCGGCCCACGTTCCTCGGCTGGACGCTCTTCAACCAAGAGCGCTGCCACCTCTGCATCAATGGACTTAGCTCCGCCTTCTCCTCTGGCTGACAACCTGACGACTTTGGCCCTTTTTTCAGCGTTCAAAACTGAAGAACACCAACTTCGAGTTGCGTGAGCCCACCGCCCAAGCGCGCTAGATAGAACCACAGTGACCTGCTGGGCATTCTGATTGGTTTGGTCGAGACCCCATGCACCTCCCATTGTTGACGTAGGACAGCCGACCGTGAGGTATGACTGAAGGAGATTAACAAACACACAAACAACCCCTCGCATAACCACCACAACTACTCAACAAGTCGCAACTTGCAGCATACTCAGCAACTGCAGCAAACAGTAACAGCCTCAAAACATGTCAGAGCAACAAACACGAAAGAACCAGCTGAAGACCGTTTGATAGGAGCAATCAGCAAGTCTATCATGTGATGTTTCCCACTCGGAACCGAGTGGATGGATCGCAGCATCCTCACCCATCCGCTGACCGGACACATCCGCTGACCGGACACATGAAGGTCTACGAGCCTGTCTTCAGCTGTATTTTAAGTGAGCCTGGAAACATCCCAAGTGAGCCTGGAAACATCTGAAGACATCAGACCGGTCAGGCCGAACCGAGGTGGGACATCAGTCCGCCTTGTTTCGAGCTTCCCCAGCTTGACGGCCAAGGGCTGAAGCTCCGCCATGAGTCTCAAAGCCGCCTCATTTCACGGAGTCCCGCGCCCCCCCCACTTGCACACGGGCTGGTCTTCGACATGGCTTTAAAACCATGCAAAAACATACAGTAATTACCCCGTAAGTAGCTCGAGATTCTCCATCTCAAGTGTTGCCAAGATCTTCTGAAGCTACCGTCCCCTGGTGTATAGGATAAATGTCGCTGCTCAAAGACATGGAACAAACGTCAGCCTTCTACTGCGACCAGTTTGCCGACTGCAAGAAAACCTGGTATAGCAGTATTATTGTAGACTCTTGATGAATAGAACTTCCCTATAATATGACGAGGTGTCAAAATCCAAACGGTTGGTTTTTAAATCAAAACACACACACACAAAACACACACAAATAGATATATTTATATATACACACATTCTTGACTCCAGTTGACTCCAAGCCTGATCAGCACGCAGTTCCAGGTCTTGCTGGGTGGAGGAGTAGTTCTGCGGGACGAAAACCACCGCGATCTCTTGGAACAAGGCGCCGATAACCTGAAACACAGGCACCCAGGTCGGGATGGTGAGTTGGTACCCGGAGCTGCTGGTTGGATCAATGAGCTGCTGGGATGTGTGCAATGGATCATTGCATCCGTGTGAAGTTTGCAGGATCAAAATGGATCAAACTAGCCTCTCTTATTTTGTTTTTGTCTGGGGCGTTTCTTGAATTCCCCTTGCCCTGGCTCAATGCCCACCACCACGAACACTGGAACCTGATGTATATATATATACATACACATATGATGTGCCAAACTATCGACAAACAAGTTAAGTTTCCCGTTAAACACCTACCAACACCTTACCACCTCCCTGACTATGTGTCACACCCTCCAACCCGGATGGCATTGGCGTAGACATATAGACTCCGACTGAGATATGGTGGAGAGAACAAACAGAACTGTTCGCGAAGGAAAGTCGTCTTCCAAGGGGCCATCCACTCCATGTCAATGTGATGTTGTCAGAGGGCAATTCAACTGGACAACATGTCCCTTCTCCGGTGGCCCCGGGGCCCAAAAAGGTCTGCGCGATGCCCAGGGACCATCACATAAAGCATCAACCTCAGCGCTGCTGGTTGCGGTCTGGTCGGTCCAGCGGATTCTTCGCCCCCAAAAAAATAGCTAGGGTATACAGGGTATACACTGTGTACACCTTGGAAATCAACATGGAACCTGAAACCACTGGGTTGTAGAGGAAACTGAAAATAGTTTTCCACCAGTAGATGGAAACGAATCATTTGTAGCACTTCCAAGGAGAACCCTGCACGTTAACTTTTTTACCAGCCAAAACCACGGCGGACTATAGCGTCCGGACTATACAGGAGACTATTTTTGCGGGGCATGGGGCCCGGGGTGTCCGCAAGCGAACGTGCCGTAAACTAGCACCATGGTAAAGTTTGCAAAAAAATCCACGCATGGAAAAGCACAGAAACCCTGATCCGTCTGAGAAAACAATTTGTTGCTCTAGAATAGGTCCCCCAAGCCTGGCTCCACATAGGTTGGCAAACTCAATATCTCAAACTCTCTGTGCACCCACTGCCCAATTTTTGTCGACAACCATCACTTGAAATCCACCTAAATTATTAAATTCACATGCATTCATTCCGTCCAAAACACTCCAAGCAGTCCCATGTGCCAAGGCATCCTCGGCCCTTCAAAATTGACACTCTTAGCTTGACAGCTTGACAAAACATCCGCATTATAATAAATATATAAATACATGATAGTAACGGGAACCATGGGAAACTGCAAAAGGTTAGCGGCAAGCTACAAACCTTGGGGTTCCAAATAATCCCGGGTATTTATTTACAAACACTTCCTATTAAAAACACCAGGTCGGAAACCTCTAAATACGGTTGGTTTATAATTGTTTTTGAATTACCGCCCTTACAAGCCGCTACTAAACTACCAACATGGTCGATTTTGGTGTCATTGCCTTAAAAATTGGGTTCTCCAAAAACTCCCTCAAAGTCGACCATGTTGTGTTGGTCACCCTGGCTGCGGACTGTCTGGCTCTCTGTCTGGCTGGGCAGGTTGATATATCCTCTTTCCCCAATCCTACAAACATGCTGCAGTTTTATACATAAATATATATATATAATTAGCCCATGTGTGGTATATATATATATATGTTTTAACTTATCTTTTGTTTAACCAATTTCACCTTGGCCATACCAAGGGGGGTAAGGATCTGCCTCCCTGGCTGTCTGACTGGCTGGCTGCCTTTAAACGGCTGTCTGCCTAGGGGTCGCGCTGGCTCTCTCGCTGCCCCACTTGCACCAGAGCAAGAGCCAGCTAAAAGGCGGGCCTGCCAGTCTCACTGTGTTCAGAAGCTGCACGAAATCTGCACTTCCAGGAGCACAAATTACTACGTCTGCCACGATTTGATTCACGGTTGAAGAACCTGCAACAAAATCTGCACTCCCAGGTTTGCACATGCCACCAAATCTGCACTTCAAGCTTCACCAAGTGCTGCGCATGCCAGGAAATCTGGGTGAAAATGGGGTATGGGTGGGGCCTGAGACAATCCCGATTTCAGGGACTTCCTATTCAAAAATATGCACCCGAGTTTTTGTTAATACGGGGGGGCCGTGTTTTTTGATAGGTGGAAGGGATTACGCCATCTACAGGACCATCAAAGGTATACACTTCTTTTCCCTGAAGCCCACCCCAAGCTGGAACTTGATGGCACTTAACCGCATTTACATGCATTTTACAACACCAAAGCTCTAAGAAAACCAAATTCCGGAACAACGAACACCACGCCGTTTCCACCGCGCGACCCGGTTCCGCCCACCACGCCGTTCTCCACGGCACTGCGACTCCTCGAGCACCGCCGCGGCCCGCAGCTCGGCGAAGAAGGGCGCCGTTGGCAGGAGGAAGGCGTCCTGACATCGGAGCAGGACACGTGCATGTCGTTGGTCGGGAAATACAAGGTGACACATTTTAGGCCTGAAGCCTCCAGCGAAAGTGCTAACGGTGGGCGGGTGCCAAAATGCCTATCCTTGTAACTTAAGAACGCTTGAACACTCCACTTTACGCTATTGTAGGGTCGACCTCTTCCTTGCAAGGGTCTGGCTCAAAACGCAGTGTCTTGGTTCGAGTCAGGATCGGAAACAGGTCTTCTGACAGAAGTATGAGCCCACACCAGCAGTTCCAAAGCTGCGTCCAGGATTCTCCCACTTATAGACGAAACAAAATGCGTCGACAAAATGGAAAAAACCATTCCCTTGAACTCGAAGAAAGGAAGAGGGAATGATCGCTGGACGGCCTGAAACGCCGTCAACTTTGGATTGCTCATGTTTGAAAGCCCAACGAAGAAACAAAACGGAACAAACCAGCACCTTCCAAGGGGTCTCGAAGGGAATACCCTAAACTACTTATGGAATCTGATGGATCTCCATCGGGCACGGTTTGAGCTGGAAACCAATGACTTCAGTGACCCACGGCAGTCTTCAGTGACCCATGGCAGTCTTCAGTGACCCACGGCAGTCTTCAGTGACCCACGGCAGTCTTCAGTGACCCACGAAGCTGTTTTGCATGTCGAAGGTCTTTGGTCATGGAAAGCGAAAGGACCCACCCAATTGTGTGTGTCTGTGTGGGGGGAGAGGATCTGTCACGAGTCTGAGGTTGAGGCTGGCCAGGTTTGAACAGGTTCTATAAATAGTGCGGCAATTGGAAATGAGAGTAATCTTAAGGCTTAAGAGTAATCTTAAGCCTTAAGCCCACGACATGTGAATATGATTCGGATTATATAGTCGGATCATCGGATCCAACAAACACAACCATGGCAAACATGAGGTGTGGGAAAAAAAACAACACCCGACCCAACTCCTATAAATAGCGCTAACCGCTAACCTTCTAAGCAGCATCAGCCTACACACCCTGGCCAACGATTGGTGTCCTCGGCAATGACCGGTATCCTGAGCGGATGCGTAACGTGGTGAGATGGTGTCGCAACATTGTGCACAACACATGAAATGGTGCATAGCTACTTGTAACAAGGGTGCGGCATTACTACTAGTAGTAGCGATGCACTTCTTACTAGTAGCGATGCCCTTAGCTACTAGTAGCTTCTCAATACGGCCCAAGATCAAGTAAAATCAGGGTGTCACTGATCTCCGCGGCAGGTAGTGCACGTCACGCTTGACAAACAAAGGGGGGCGAGCATACATATCAGCACCACCGAAGGAGGACAGTTCTCGGATCGTAGAGCAATCTATAAATCACTCTTAGGCTGGTACTGGCATGAAGTACGTAATGTTGACTCTTGATTAATAACCCCCCCCCCCCGGCCCCCGCCCCCCCCCTCAACTATTGAGACTCCATGAGACTCCAGAACAATGTGATAGAAAAACAATCAATTGATAAATAAATAAGGAATCCTTAGCTAGCTACCTCTGGAGCTACTCTGGCAATACTAAAATGAAAGGAATCATTACTTAGCTATCTCTGTCAATACTAAAAATGAAAGGAATAAGGTCCAAAGACCTTCAAAAGCAAATCTCAGCAAAGTCAGAAGGGAAAAAGTAAACTATAACAATAAAAAATATCTCACTACAACTACCCCTCCCCAAAAAAAAACATTATTCTGGGGGCCTTTATTAATCTGTGCAGGAAAAAAAGTGTCACTATTCTGGGGTACTTTATTAATCCAAGTTCAACATTACTATGTCCGTCGCCCTGTGCACGGCAAAACGTGCAAGGCTTCCAGGCTGCGTTGAAAGAACTCGGGAAATTCCGCAAGAGTTGCACTGGCGCAGCAGTCTGGACATGGTGAACCTGATGAAAATTTATGTCGCTTTGAATTGTCTTCCTGGAGTCTTAAAAGTTTGATGGACCTGGTGGTGAGCCGAACTTCTTTTTCACCACAGCTGTCATGGTGAGCTGTCTGGCGATGGCCGCACCGTCCGAATCCGCCCCTCCCTCCAAGCTTCATACAGCACTCAGGCCGGCGGCAGGCTTGCAACAGCCTCAGCTGGCACCAGAACGAGAACATCGAAGAACTGTGCAGGTGTACATGTGTGCAGCGTGTTAAGGGAAACCCTTGATGATGGACTCAAAAGGACCCAACCAAACCTTGTGTGAATCCGTGGCAGTAAGACGGATCCATGATAAATTATAACTATAGCTATAGTATGCTGTAGTTGTAATTATTTGCTATCTTACAGCTACGCTACACGGCCCACACCCACCAACAACGGTCCACAAAACTGCACCCCCACATCCGTCAGTTGGCAGCCCAATCATTCGTCGCCCTGAGTACTGGACGAAAATTGGGCACTTAGACCCCACTCCGTGGGGAAAAGGCGCGTGAAATGGTCAGTTGGCAGCCCGGGCGCCACTTCTGAATGTGCTCGGACTTAAAGCACTGATTGCTGCAAATCACCATGGAGAGTAGCGCCTTCTCCGACACCTGCGGTGTAGAGTTCCAAAGGAGGCTACACAGCAAGGCCGCGGGGGTGGGCAAGTGTGGCAATGCAGAAGTGCCTTGAGAAGACCTCTGGTTGGAACTCTTACCTCTGCTCCCAAGCAGGGTGAATAACGCTGAATGGTTCTAAGGACTGAGCAAGTAGTGCAACAAAGCTTTCACTTCACTTCTCCATCGATGTTGTTGCCCCAGCTTCCACGGGCAGCCCGACCAATATACAGTTGCACACATCGTCAACCTGTTTCAAAACAAACGACCAGCCGCAGGTGGAACACTCAACAGAGTGATGCCCCCCAAGAGAGTATCCTGCAATGTCCGCTCGTTTCTTCTTTTCATGGAAGTAGCCCAGGGTTCCACACTCCAAGCAATATCGTCATGATATGGCAAGTCCAGACATGTCCATCCCGCATCAGCTTGATCGTGTGCCATGGTCAAACTGGGGCGAGTTCCCTCTAGTAGGCATGGTCATTCGCTTTCACTGGAGATTTCTATACAACCCTGATGAGGACCGGTGATCATGGGAGGGGGACCATGCCCTACATAAGAAGTCTTGATTTGACCATAGCACATACATGACTAATTAGATGACTAGTCACCCCGTTGAATGAGCGACACCAAACGCTGCCATGTCGACATGAGCAATTGGGGAGACACCGTTGGAGACCCATCCCTACTGGGCCGCTCTGAAACCCACTCGCCTTCATCTTTCAACCGCCAAAAGGGCCGAACTCGTGCCGAACTTAGCCCACATGGACCCTGAAAACCTACGAGCGATGGCCTCCAACCATCTCCAACCTAGAAGCGATGGCTCCCCCCGAATAGTGATGGCCTCCAACCCAGACGATTGACATGGACCCTGAACACTGCTGGGTTGTAGAGGACCATCTTCTTCCAAAAGTCTATGCCATCAGGTTCCATCTGGGTCTCGATCACCCCGGGTGTCTACCATCACCCCGGCAGGGTGCGACGGTCCGCTGGCTCTCTGGCGCCTCCTTGCCCGCCGGTAGCACTGAAGGAAGTGGCAAACTGGTGCCCAGCAAGCGTGGCTTCAACCTGGGTGACCGAAACAAGCACTTAATTGGGTCATACCCTGGGCTGAATAATTGGGTCACCTAGGTGACCTAGTAGGTGATCTATATAGGTCATACCTGGGTGACCTATATAGGTGTGCATAATCATTGGGTCATACCCGATCGCGGCTGGGCAGAGTCTAGCGCTTCCGAACCTTCCAGGGGGTCGGAACGCATGGGAGACGTCTCGATCCCTATTTTTAGTAGATACTAATGCACATATAGTCTATATAGTACTCTCTCTCCCTCTCTCAATATATATATATATATCCCTACACATCGGGTAAAACGGAGTCATTGATCCGAAGGGTATATCTTATCCCATTCCCTGGTTTCCGTGGATGATGGTTTCCGTGGTAGACCCGTGGTTGCAGGTCGACATCTCAAGCATAGTGATCATCTTCTTACCGACTGTTACAGGTAATGGGACACACCCAAAGTATATCTGCGATCATCTTTTTACCGACTTACTGTTACTGGTCATGGGACACATCCTAAGCAGCACCACTCCAGGTGGGGGCCAAGGGTTGTTTATCGAACCCCCTGACGATCTAGATCTGTGAACCGTCAAAAAGCATCAGCCAATCCAAATGAATTCTAATTAAATTCTAATCCCAATTTAATGTTGACTTCCTATTTGTAAATGGCCCGTGAACAGTACTAAATCTTTTCAAAAACCAATATTAAATGGCCCTCAAATAGTACTAAATGTTTTCTGGACCTTGATTTTCAGCTGCTTCCAGACCTTGATTCATCCAAGCTGATTCTGAGCTTTCAGCTGATTCCAAAACCTGATTATGTTGTGGTTTCCTTTACTCTGGAATTTTGATTTGGCTGCTGCATGTTTCTTTTAAAAATGCTTATTTGGGCTTTGCAACCTGAAATCAACCCACAAAGACCACCCCCCACAAGCAGCCCAAACCTTCAATTACTCAAGACCTCAAATAGTACTAAACACTTTTTGGCTGGTTCTTTTGGTGGTTTTCTGTACAAGTCCTTTAGGTGTCCTTTTGGTTGAAAAGTTTTAGCTTTATTGAAGGGCATCCTTTCTGGATTTCTGATTTGGCTGCTGCATGTTCCTTTAAAAAATGCTTCTTTGGGCATTGCAATTTCCAACCTGAAATCAGCCCACAAAGACCACCCCCCACAAGCAGCCCAAACCTTCAATTACTCAAGACCTCAAACAGTACTAAACACTTTTTGGCTGGTTCTTTTGGTGGTTTCCTTTACAAGTCCTTTAGGTCCAGGTTTCCTTTCCTTTCCTTTCATTGTCCTTTCAATATCCTTTCCTTTCCTTTCATGTTCCTTTCATGTCTTTTCCTTTCCTTTCATTGTCCTTTCAATTTCCTTTCATTGTCCTTTCCTTTCCTTTCATTGTCCTTTTCAATGTCCTTTCCTTTCATTTCATTTCTTTTCCTTTCCTTCAATCTCCTTTCCTTTCCTTTCATTTCCAATTCAAATCAAGATTTTCTAGGGTTTTTCTGGAAATCACATTATTTGGGGCCCACACTTGATCAAGGGGGGGGTTATTAATAAGAGGCTCACATTATTCATTGTTTCTAATAGCTGTCCGTTCCTAGTAGTATGGCCAGGAGCCCCTACTAGCTTCTTGTTCCTATAGGTAGCGCCTCTTCTGTGGTCACCGTGTGGTCCATGGGTGTGGAGGCGTTGGTCTTTTCATCGCAGAGTACCAGCAGCAACAGGCTGGCCAAATCCTGCCCAACAAGTCACAGATTGGTATCCATATACCATGTTCCAGCAGGGTGGTTTATAAGTGGTTTATAGACCCCCTTGATCATGCCTTTGCCACCTGATATCACTCGTTTCAGTGTTGCTCGTAATCAAATTGATTCAACCCTTCTGCCTTCATGGGGGTCATCTCTGCAGCTATTACCAGCTAACCTCTCCCTGTGTTCAATCACACCTAAGTGGCAAAGCTGATGTGAAAAAACCTGTTGAACAATCTTCCTTTCAAAAAACGAACCAAGGATGAACAAGCTAATACTATTTAGTGCTACATCGCATTCCTTGACGATAGTTCATCGATATTCATCGTTTCAACGACATCATGTCCCAAAAACGGGCACCTTTTCAGCAGGTCTCTGGCACACGACAAACTTCAAGTGGCGAAGAAGAACTTCCAAGTGGTCCAAAAATCATCATGTGCGCAAAGCAGCTGTGATTCCAGGATCCAGCTCTAAGTATCCAGGGGGCAGGCATGGAAAGACAAAAATAGTATGGTAATCATATTGAGCAATGGACCAAATCTGTGGCTAGAGGAACCTCGTGGGGATGGTCATGGGAGATAGCCCCCCTTCCCCTGCATGCCCTGTTACAGGCACAAGGACCCAAGGACCCTTAACCCGCACCCCGACCCACAGATTCGGATCGATCCAGGATCCAGCCATGGCAGCTGCACTGCCCGCACTGCCAAGTGGCAAAGATAAAAGCACCAAGGCAGTGGCCATCGCCTCGGTGTCCTGCGGATCGACCAGCACCGGGAAGTTCGTGGTCAGCTCCGTGAAGTGCGAGGGACCACGTCTGCACGGCGGGCGTCGGTGGACGGGTGGTTGGGGCTTGGGTGTTCGGGTGTTCTGGTGTTTGGAGGATTTGGGGGCGAACACCCCGAGATTGATTGACCAATGACTGTTTAAACAGCAAATGATAAAGTTTGGCTGATAGACCGGACCTGACCTTCGGGACTTCGAGGTTTCCGCGTGCATCCGAGGAACAGCGGTCGACTTTTTCTGCCACCGGACGTTCGGCTGGCAGCCACGAGGTCAGAGACCATGGCATGCGACGTGGTGGGTGTGATGTTCTCAGGCATGGTTTGGCAGTCTCGCTCGTTAAGCCATCGAAAGGTCTCCGCGACATCCTCCATGCTGATGCCGTACCTGTGGGGAGGTGGGAGGGCCTGGTGCCATTCACATCTCTCTCTGGCTTGTACCAATCATTGGTATATGGCGTTCACATTCAGATCTTCAACACTCTTCAACAGTAGACAACGGTGTGGCAACCCAAAGAAAGGCCCTGGTTCAAGGCGGTTTCAAGATTGTTTTGGGGTCGATTTCTCCGAGAATCTTTGTAAGCTCATTGATGTCCGGGACGATCCTGGGATAGTTTTCAATGAAGTTCTCCTGAGCACGGGCCATTTCTCGCCGTAGCCGGGGCAGCACAGCGAAGAAATCGCAAGTGGGCGGGCTGCAGAGCAGCTGAAGAGAAGAACTCATCCCTTACATGAAGTGTCATGGATGCAAAATGACTCATAACACGTGGATTGCTGCTTTCTTTGGGGGGTGTCGACCAGTGTGACCCTCACGGGGAATACCGGTCAAAGTGACTGTTCATGATCTGACCATGTCGCTCTCCGAGAATTCTTACGCCGATCAAAAAGAAGGCGAGAGAATCAGGGTCTGCGCCCGTGCTTCACACCGTTTTTTTGTTTTACTTCTTCTTCTTCATCATCTTCCGGATTTTTCTTCTTCTCCTTCTCCTTCTGATTTTTCTTCTCCTTGTCCTTCACGATCTTCTTCTCCATCTTCTTACTATTCTTCTTACAGTAGTCTTGGTCTCCTTCTCCTTCTCCTTCTTCTCCTTCTTCTTCTTCTTACTATTCTTCTTACAGTAATCTTGGTCTCCTTCTCCTTCTTCTTACTATTCTTCTTACAGTAATGTCGGTCTCCTTCTCCTTCTCCTTCTCCTGCTTCTTCATAAACTTCTGGATTCTTCTTCTTCTCCTTGTCCTTCTCCTTCTTCTTCTGAATCTTCTTCTTACTATTCTTCCTACAGTAGTCTTGGTCTCCTTCTCCTTCTCCTTCTTCTTCATCATCTTCTGGATTCTTCTTCTTCTTCTCCTTGTCCTTCTCCTTCTTCTTCTGATTCTTATTATTCTTCTTCTCCTTCTTCTTGATACTATTCTTCTTAATCTTGGTCTCCTTCTCCTTCAATTCTTCATCATCTTCTGGATTCTTCTTCTCCTTCTCCTTGTCCTTCTCCTTCCTCTTTTCCTTCTTCTCTTTACTATTATTATTAATCTTCGTCTCCTTCTCCTTCTTCATCATCTTCTGGATTATTATATACTTATTATCCTTGTCCTTCTCCTTCTGATTCTTCTTCTCTTTGTCCTTCTCCTTCTTCTCCTTCTTCTTACTGTACTATTCTTCTTATTCTTACAGTAATCTTGGTCTCCTTCTCCTTCTTCTTCTTCTTACTATTCTTCTTAATCTTCGTCTCCTTCTCCTTCTCCTTATTTATATTCTTTATCTTCTGGATTCTTATTCTGCTCCTTCTCCGCGTCCTTCTCCTTCTTCTTATGCTTCTTCTTTCTTTCTTCTTCTTACTAGTTATTATTCTTAATCTTTGTCTCCTTCTCTTCTGGATTATTCTTATTGTTATCCTTCTTCTTCTTACTATTCTTCTTAATCTTTGTCTCCTTCTCCTTCTCCTTTTTCTTCTTCTTATTCCTCATCTTCTGGATTCTTCTTCTTCTCCTTCCCCTTGTCCTTCTCCTTCTTCTTCTTGCTTTTCTGTTTCTTATCCTTC